TTTAACGCGCAGGCCGCGGTCGCCGCCGCCTTCCTGCCCGGCCCGCCTATGCTGCACGCGCCGCCCGGTGAGTCCAACCTTAGCCTAGTTCTTGAAACACTCGGTGGTGCCTTGTCTTCCAACCACTCCTGATTGAATCAGTCTCTTCCGGAAAATTCCAATAAGAAAAAGCTTAAGCGAAAGCTGTAGAAGACAGAGCGGCCTCGAGGAGTGCGCGCTACTCAGGACAAAAGACCTTGCGAGCTTTGTGCCATAATTAGCGCGCGTGTGAGGGTCGAGGGGGGCGCTTTGTGCGCGTTCGGCTCCGGTTACTGCCGGCGCGGCACAAAGCGCTTACGGCTGGCAGGCTGGCGCGCTCCGCTGGCGAGCCCTGACACACTCACACTCGCTGGGACCATGCATTCGTACGGAATCAAACTAAATCCAAGATCAGCTTACATTTTATAAATAAAAAGATCATTTAGCTGCTGTGAGCATTCCGTTCCCGTTGTTCAAACATTGCCTCTCACAAGTCATAGGCACATCTGATATAATATCTCCAAGTTTGGTTACTAGTTATAAATGTTGCTGCAAAGTTATGACACATATGTATAATACTTTGTTGACATTCTCGTTCTGTAGGAGTTACAACTCACTTTGCACATTGTCGTGAGAATATTGTATATGATGAATGATTACTTATGTCTACTAACACAACGGAATGTTCTTACCAAACCTATACTTACATACTTAACTATTACTTATATTAAATGTTTAGAAAGTGATATGTAACGCATAAACCTAAATCGTTATTGTTTGCCTAAGTTACTACGCAGTTGAAAATAATATACACCTTAAACAGGATCATTGTGCGTGTTACACAACTTATGTTTTCTTCTGACATGTAGTTTTATATATAGAATAGATAGAAATTACTTAAAGCAACTAACTTAAGGTTTCTTAAAATTTATGAATTTAAATAATATTTTTACACAACATTTTCTTATTTAACTTTGCCTTGATTAAGTTATTTACTAAAAATTTCTTTTGATAATTAACTAAATAATAAATATTTAACTATGCGGTATATTTTGATTACATTTTAAACGATTAAAAAGATTATTTTAAAAAAAGAACAGGCATTAGTAGAGACATAGACATAGAGAGTAGATTTGCAGCACGCGGCCGTCGGCGGCATCACTCCGCGCGACCTCACTCCGGAACATATTCAACAATATATTGCACACATTTATATGTTAAATTTTAATTTTAATGGGAAATTGTTATAATAACTATTAATAATTATTTCCTTTCTTCATAAAATATTGAAACATCGCAAACTTAAGGTTATGACGTTTGAGAGGAAAAGAAAATCAATGTTCCGTCACAATTCCAATAAGAATTTTCTTGTACAAAATTTATTAACAGCATTTAAAAAATTTAATTATTTAAATACATTATTCTGATTTGATACGAATTATTCTTGTAAATATTTTTAAAACATCTTTTGCAGAGCCTTATTTAAGTTGGTTTTTTACAACATTCTTTAAAATTCTCTGCTATTCATTGAAACTTGTTTACATTATTACATTTTTAATTAATTAGTTTACTTAATTCCCGGAATTACTAGAAAATGATAAAAAGCAGAAAAAAATCGCTTATAATAATTAAAAGCCACATCAAATAATGGTAGAAATGATATAAAGTATTTACTGTAGTTGTAGGAAACACGAACATAGAATAAGATACATAGTTGTAAAAAAAACACAAAGATTTACTCTAACACTGTAAAAAAACAGTAAGACACATTTTACTTAAATATGAGTTTTAACCGTTTGAACGCCGGTGCGTCATTGTGGTTATAAAAAGTATGTTTTAATTAGTTCTCTGTATTTATCAAGATTAAATAATCATAATTTGTGGTAATGTTTTTTTTCACCGTAGGTTAAAATGGTAGACATATGTTCAAGCTAATAATGTAATTAAAACAATCTCTAATGTTTTTATGGTTATGTGCTAAGACTTGCTGCACCAGTCCATCAATAAATAGTACAGAACTTTGCGAATCATAGTCGAAGCTTCTATTAAATGAAAATCAATATAGGTATTAGAGACCTATAAGTTTACTAAAGCATTGCTTCGCAGTTCAGTTAGGATTTTCGGCATAGAATAGGCTAGATTTGTTGTTTTAAGTTTTATTGTTTCCAGACATCGTGTACCCCTTTATAATTAGAATAGATGATAGTTGGAAGACATTGTAAAATTATTGTTTGAATGACGCTGCACTTTTCTTTCTATTTCTTACGTAGACAAATAATAGGCATAAATGTAGACTACAGAATAATCTAACGTTAATATCAAAATCAATTTCGCTTATCTAATTTAAAAGATAATTTAACACTTTATCGCTAACATTCAAATATAATAAAAGCCCTTTATTCGGAAATTAAAGTTTGAAGTTAAAACAGTACGAAATAAAAATACAATGAAATTAAAAAAGTGACATAAACCGGTGAGTTGTAATTATGTCTCTTACTTCAGTGTGCCTCCTCTAAACACTTCCAATGTTGTATGTACCCGGAAACTCTTCTCCAGTTAGGACATTAACACATCAAAATACACCGTTAAACCAAAATTTACAACCTTTTATAAGAATCGTCGGATGATTTGATGTTCAAAATTATTATAATATGTTATAAGTTCTTATAATAAGATATTTATTATTGGCTATAAATTACACATGCAGGTCTCGACCAGATAATTAACTCGTAGCAATTATATCTGGCAATATCCACAAACCGTCGGACTGATTGACTAAGCAACTGCTAAAACAAAGAGTAGTTCTTATAATATGCTAGAAGACTAAAGATTTATATTTCCAATATGTTTTTATGTATGTGCGTAGTTCTAAAAGGTTTGATGTGGTATTAGATGCTAATTTAAAATAATACCGAAACTCAAACGCTGGAGCAAAGAGGGGGGTAGGAGTGCAACAATGCGCGCGCGCCGCCCGCAGCGCATTGTTCCTCACCCCCCGCGCGCCCCCTGCGCCCCCCCGCGCGCCCCCCGCGTACCCAACACGACCCGCCGACCCCAATGCACTCGTGTAACTAGCCTACCAATAAATTAGTTCATCGACCAATAGTTTAGTTGAGTAAAGTGCACTTTCATTACATTTTACTTTGACCGTTAGATATTTTTCAAATGGAACCTTGGACTGGATTAGGTGCGTGGTCGTTCCTGAAGTGAATCAGCGCATTATTGACGTCTTAGGAAGTAAGCACTTCATTGTGAATAATGTTTAATGTGGCAAATAATCGGAATCTACTCTATTCGTATAGATTCAAGCAACTAATGAACAAACATTTTCGATGGATAACATTTTTTAAGAGATGAATTAGAAAACGCGTATTTAGGCTTTAATGAAAAGCCTCCGGCCGAGTACCGTAAATGAGAGAAGCAAAAAACCCATAATGGAATAATAAAGAGGCGATGTGAGATGAGGGGGGGGGGGATGAGGGGTACGTAAGCACACGTCAAACACAATCAGCGACACCTCACAAAGTGGTGCACAAAACATGGCTTTGTACTGCTGAGCAAAGACAAGACAGTCGGAGGCTCGGGGCCGACACCTCGCCGAATGGTGCTTTGTGCGCGCACAATGCGGCACAAAGCGGCATTCGAGCGCGGCCCCGCAGCGGATAAAAGGTTAGCTGATATCCGCACAGCCTGCCAGCGGTCACTCGCTTAAATACCATTTCGGTTCTCATAATGTTCGTCCCGGGGAGACCGCGGCGGGGACGCGGCGTGTCCCCGTAGTTCTGCTGCCAGTGTTCGTTGTGAAGGGCATGTTAGCCTTGATTGCGTAACAGGTACTCAATAAATATTTGAATAGTAGTCTGAGGTCTGGGGTCTGATAATGATAAATAGTAGAATGTGTATTAAAGTCCGGAGAGGAGTAAATTGTGTCACTCGCTGTGTCACGAGCTAAGTCTCGCACCAATATGTACGTGTAAGCTATGCCATGACATATACACACGAACGAAAACGATGCTTTTGCTTTTACTATAACTTAACCATATTTTTTTGATTAACATTTATTCTATTAATAACACACTTACTCGCGACGATTAAGCGGCCGGTACCCACCAAAACATTGCGAAGCCCCGACCCCCGGACTTCGGGGGGACTGTACTGTGCCTGGGACCGTATCGATCCCTCGGGAATGTCGGCCAGGGAACATATTACTCGAGTGCAAGATTATCACGCCTGCTCATACCTCGTCCCCTGGCAGCCCCCACCCCTCCCCCCTCCATGTCATCTGATCCTGAATTGATGCGAAATCAATTACCAAAAGTATGTTAAATATCTTTTATTTGATTATTTAAACTCGATAAGAGATCGAGGATGGAAAGGCAAGTCTGTATAACAGTTATAATGCTGTGATGTTCGCCGCCCACAGCGGGTTTGTTTACTTGTGTCATCACACCAAGTCAAGTGAAGTCAAAGATTTAATGTCTTGTACTTGTAACTACATTATATACTAAAGAAAACTAAGAACAGGAATTATCTTATTTTACAAATTTAATGAAAACAGTGTAAAACCTATGTCTCCAAACCAAGTATAAGAACAGGTTTATATGCCCTAAAAATCTAAAAAATTAAGTAAAAATGTGTTTCGTCATATTAAGACTTTTGCCTTTCTCTCTCTCTCTCTCTCTCTCTCTCTCTGTCTCTCTCTCTCTGTCGCTCACTCAAGTTCAGAGTTCAGTTAGTTAGATGCAATACAACTTCAGCATTTTAGAAATCAAATTAAGACATGTGCACACAAAATGTAGTCCTTAAAAAAACATTATGACATTATCTATCAAATTAAAAAGTATACATAATTTTTCACAGAAACTCGAATATAATTTAGAGAACTCCGAATTTCAACGAGTACATTTACAGTTATCTTACATACTGGTCTGGTGGTACATCGCTACTGTCGTATTAAAAGTTTTTTTCGAAAACTGTAGTGGCTAGTAACAGCGCTGCCACCGCGCGCTGGACGTCCGGCCTTACCCGAAACGGTTGTCGGGTATTGGT